CCAACCCCCCCAAAAAGCCGTGACGTGAGGGCGCCTGTCTCCCCCCCGGGGGCAAGATGTTCCAAAGGGCAGGGGCTACAGCAGAGAAGGCCCGCCTTCTGGACCCCGCTAATCGAAGTTATTTTACTGCGGGGATCCGGAGCATGCCGTCTCTGTGAGATTGGGTGCCTCTTTCAAATAAGTTTATAATCAATAAATATAGTTACAGCTATATCAATTCATTGAGAAATTCTCTACAGTCTATTTTTAAAATATTAAAATAATGTTTTAAATACAGTTAGATTTTAGTTCAGGAAATATGTTTAAAAACTTCGGTTTTGCAAGATTGTGGATGAAGAAATGCAACTGAAAGAACTTCATAAAGTCCTTTACTATGCAGAAGAAGTCAGATAGGCAATCAAACTGCCCTGTTCTGTTTTCTTATTAGAGAATTATTTTTAAAAGTGCAAGAGTTGGTCATTTATGAAGTAATACAGCTCAAGAAATAGTACATCTGTAATATCTTTATTATGGTCATTGACCAGTGTTTTATACATTTTTTGTACGAATTACAAGGCTCAGATTAAAGTACTTTAATATTTGCTAGAAAATTAATAGAAGTAAACAAAATGGTTCAAACTGCTAAACACCATAAATACAAAAGGCAAATTCTAAGAAAAAATCTAAATAGTGAAAACTAATTGACTAAATTATAAAATTACTTTGTGAATAAAATACTAAAATGTTAACATACTAAGTTACTAGACTACTAGGTGAGTGTCTCTGTATTTGTATACGTATCTGTATGTGTGTGTTCTCTGTGTATATAAAACTTTATAATGGTCAGTGACAAGTGAGACATAATGGAAGAGATAAAAACATAAAACAAAATAGACAGCATTAAAATGCATATTTCTAAGGTCCTAAAATTAGGAGATAATAGCTTTGTGATATGTCACATATATATAAGAATTTGTGAGCAATAATTCTTAAATGCAATACATGTGAGGGTAAGAGGATGCTTTTCAAGCAAATATTTTTTCAAACAATAAACCAAACTTTAAGAAACCTGCTGGTACCCACTGAGAATCCCAGAAGGAATCCAAAGCGTCCTGGGAAACAGCTTTGATTTTTTTTTCTTCATAACTGTTGGATTGAGCTAGGGAAAAGAAACTCTCTCAACAGTGTAGCGCTCAATTGGTGAAAGGCATTAATTGTATAGAAAGTGCTCTAAATGGCACTCTTTGCTGCACACTTAACAAAGAGAAGAGAGTTTAGGGTGCATTGGGTTTCACAAGAAGATTCTCACCTAGTTTGAGAAATTCCAGGATTACAGTCACACTTAAATGAGAAACAAAGTAGTAATTTTATTGATGATGTCTTAATCCACTGATCTTAAGGGGAAGACCCAGTACCCTGATGTGGGCTGCTCTGGGTAAACACATCCACTGCAGACTACTTGGATAAGTCCCAGTGTCCCATATACTTGAGTTGACCTTTATTGGTTGATCTTACTACCCATGCTTCTTGACCCTAATCCATGCTTCTTGCTTACAATGACTATCTACAAGACATTATTACCTATCTAACACATACAGATTCTGTGATGGCCATTCATTGTTTTGAGCCTGAAATGTTCCTAACTTGCTTCCAGTTATCCTGGAATCAGCCATTCCCCCTCCCAATGATGGGATTTAGGATGACTTCCAGGTGAATTTTTAATCCTAAATGACACAATCAAATCATTAGCTGATTTTTGTGCTATAATAACTTCTGGAGAATTCTCCCAGACTGTAGCTGACACAGAAGATTCTACTTACATAACTGTATAAGCATTGAGCTGAATCCAGCTCCCTTTCTGAAAATAGGATCATTTCCTGAGTTGACATCTGCTCGGAATATTCTCACCAGTAAAAAAAGAGGCAACCATTAATACCTTCCTTCAATTGTATCCATAGCACCATCTCCCACTATTTCACATAGTCATGGAAATCTTTAGAGCAGATTATGGGAGGATGAGGAGGCATACAGGGGAAAGGAATATCAATGAAATTGTTGCCCCCTCCATTCTGCTATTGGACCTCATCCTTTGAATCCTGTGGACATCCACTCAGGCAGATTTTGAATCTAATCTGATCTTTGATTTATGGGAACAAATCCACAACTATGTGCTTTACTTTTTATATATTTGTATATTTGAGAAAAATACATTGAATTATTGGAATTTTTTAAAAGTCTATTTTCAGTTTTCAAATAAAACTTTTTTCATGTTTTATTATACTGACATTGTAAAAAGTGTATCAGCAGGCAGTGGCATCTCGGACACATTGGGTTCAGAAGCTAACAGGGCTGGTCCTGATTAGTACCTCCTTGGATGAAAGAAGCCACCAAAGAATTCTAAGGCTATAGGCCAGACTGAGAAGTTGAAAAACATCTCAGAAAAAGACAGTGCCAGTCCAATCTGTCCTGGGCCAAGAAAATTGCATAGACGTGTTCTTGTGTTTACCAAGAGTCAGGCTTGATTGAACTGCATCTTTGCCTTTTTACTGTAAAAAGCTATGTGATGATTCAGTGGAATTTTAGAAAACTGAAATTTAATCAGATTGTGGGCACAATTTTATTAGCTGACATTACCTGCTGTTGCTGTGCAATAATTATTATATCAAATATACTTTGCACAGACCTAAGCTTCAACAGTTGCATGATTATTCACCATGCAATTGAATGAAATGGAAATTTAACTCAAAAAAAGTAGGAGATAAATATTATATTCAGTAGCAGTTGGTAGAAGTTACTGCCATCTGTACAGGCTATGAATCTTATTTTTATGTCATATATATGACTTTTGAATCCTTTCCTAGTTTTTCTATAATTGCCTGTGAAGCCTACTTTTTTTCTTTCTTTTTTTGGGGATCATTTGTCTACTTGATATAATCACTCAAGATCTAACCACTAGTTCTGGTTTTTTTTAGTTTAATTATGTAATTAATTAATCAAATCTTTATTATGGTCATAGACCAGAATAAGGAGGGTGGGGTACAGTCATTAAAAAAGAATAGGAGTAAAAAATAAAAATCTAAAAAGATTATAAAAAGCCAGAAGATATGAAAGATATATGAAATAAAAACAGAAAGTATATATAAAAAACAAGAATCTAAAAAAATCTAAAAGAAGGGGTAGGAGTATTAGATGGGTGTAGGGAAGCATAAATGTTAGTATGTGGAAGACCATATTAACTTACAGAGTGCTCTAATATGGCAAACTAGGTACACATTAAATCTAGTTTATAGCACAGGTCATCATCATTTTAAGGGAAAAACACACATACCTTATCAAACGTGTCTTTCCTCACTATAAAATGTAAAAGGGCATAAGGGCTGAGCATTTATCAGATTAACTGCTCTAAATCAGTACTCTCTGTTCATACATTTGTATTCTCTAGGTGGAAGTATTTATGTACCACCTCAAATAGCTTTTTCTGCTTAAGGAAAGACAAAATTGTGGCCTTAAAATGTATATATAAAAATGGTACACAGCCCCCCAAAAATGGTAACATATAAGGGTTGTTCATTATGTTAGTTGTCAATATATAAATATTGCATTTCATATTATGACCAATGATTGTGGCTCTGACAATGAATTGTGCTGAAAACGATACTATAAATTTTATTTCTACTGAAATATTATTGTATCTAATTATTTATTAAAATAGTATTCTTCCCACTATGAGCAGTGGCAGTAATTTGAATTTTTTTTCTGATATAAGTAATAAAAAAAGAGAACTTTGACTAGCTGACAGTGTTGGAAATAATCACAATAAGACAGAATTTATTTCATGTTCTACATTTTAAATAGCATTTTCTAGT